ATTTATCTTTTATTTTATTATTTAATTTCGAAAATTTCCATCTCCGAGGTATTGTCGATAAAATATCATCGAATTACCAGAATACAAATTTTCAAATACGATAACGCGCTTGATTAAAAATTTTGCAATCGCGTCGCTATCTTTCCAAATTACATTCCAAGCATAAAAAAAAAAAATCTTTTCACGAATCGTTAAATCATACATTTTATCATACACTTTCGTGTCCCAAATCATTATTTTTTCCAAATATCTTTCCCTCTTCCATATATTTCCAAATATTCTTTTTACAGCACTTTTTATTATACACTCTCTCATACCCCACTGCACTATTCTTTCAAACACATTTCGAATATTCTTTTTACAATGTTTTTATATATCACTTTTTACACTACATCCATTGCATTCCTATTTTTTTTTTTTTCAAATTCCAAGCACAATATTCCCTTTCCACAAATTTTACTATACCAGCACGATTTCATGAACGACATACATCTTCCAAATATACAAATTTCCAAACAAGAAATCTCCATTTCGAAATGACCCTTTCCACGAATTTTCACATCGCCTTTTACCTGCTTACAACACACCATCCCCGTGTCATAAACCATCCATTACATTCCAAGCAAAAAAAAAATCCTTCTCTACAAATTTTCATGGCACGCTTCACCATCGTCATAAACCATCGCACTATCGCTCTCAACACCGATACATCACCGATATATGTATATATATCTGACACACAGTGGCAAAATCAGCCATATCGGTATATGCAATAAAGTCGAGACGCAAAGGTCCTCGAGATCGAACGTCAAAGATATTTTTCGCTCTCCTCCATCCTCTCCCCCCCTCGAACAGACGTGCGCAGACGCTTTTATACGCTTCCGTTTTCATTTTCTTTTTTCCCCGGAATCCGCCGCCTTTTTTCAGCCTTTTTCCGCGCAGACGATAGACGCGTATAGAGGCGAATGCAAAATGGTTTAAGATATATAGAGCAGATATAGGATGGGCTCTTACCCTCCTTCCCTTTTCTATCGGCTTTCTCTGATCGCTCGGGCCTGAAATCGAGACACGATACGGGCTCACGAACCATTTCCTCTCCTCGGCTATCGACGATTCCCGTACCAACTCGCGATACATACCTTGAACGATACGTATTTGGCAAAATTTCAAACACCCCCCTTTTTGTCTTCTTCTTCTACCTCGATGCGAGAGCTTTTTCGCCTAGTGTTTTAGCTAAATAAGCGGGCGAATAATGGCTATAGAATTTGGAATGTGGATATTGGGGAAGAATAAGTTTTAATGCTACAGAGTGGAATGTAGAAAGTTGATAAAGTTGATATTGGGAAAGATGTGCTTTAATGTATGTATATAGAGTATATATTTTAATGTAGATATGTAGTATAATGAGTTGAAAGTGATGAATGTAGATATTGGGGAAGATAAGTTTTAATGCTATAGAGTGGAATGTAGAAAGTTGATAAAGTTGATATTGGGGAAAGATATGCTTTAATGTATGTATATAGAGTATATATTTTAATGTAGATATGTAGTATAATGAGTTGAAAGTAGAAAGTGGATGAATGTAGATATTGGGGAAGGATAAGTTTTAATACTATAGAGTGGAATGTAGAAAGTTGATAAAGTTGATATTGGGGAAAGATGTGCTTTAATGTATGTATACAAAATATATATTTTAATATATCTATATATCTATTGAATATACAAAGTGAATAAAATATTGGAGAAGAATGAGTTTTAATGCTATAGAGTGGAATATAGAAAGTTGATAAAGTTGATAAAGTTGATATTGAGGAAGGATGAGTTTTAATATTATAGAGTGGAATATATAAAGTTGATAAAGTTGATAAAGTTGATATTGAGGAAGGATGAGTTTTAATATTATAGAGTGGAATATAGAAAGTTGATAAAGTTGATAAAGTTGATATCGAGGAAGGATGAGTTTTAATGTTATAAAGCTGAATGTAGAAAGTTGATAAATATAGATATTGGGGAAGAATGATTTGGAAAGTTGATAAAATTGATATCGGGAAAGGATGAATTTTTTATAGTTTACAGATGTTGGAATGATAACAGGATGTTGGTTGATGTTGGTTCAGAATTTTGGTTTATATTTATGTTTATTTGATAATAAATTTTCTTTCTTCAGAAAAAACGAGACAAAATCGTTTAAATTATTTCTCGATAGATTTCACGAAATAATTTTTAGAATATAATAATATCGGGGGAAAATTGTACATTCGAAACTTTTAATTTTATTCGAATATTAGAGGGAACAATTCTATTCGATCGAATAAAATTCTCAAATGATATATCTATATGAAATAAATTTATTTCCTATTTCATTCATTAATATTTAATTCGGAATAAAACGGAAATCTTTTAAAAATTTGATTTTCCTTCTAAAAATCACAAACACATCCAACGATTCACTGTCGTATACGTCGCAATTTTACAAATTATTTACAAATTATATTATAATTATTCCACATAGAAAAAAAAAAAGAAAGAAAAATTAAAATTACCTTTAACTTTTCTTTTCTTACAATTTCCTCCGGATGAAATATTCATCCCTATTCGAAGGAACGGAATAAATCAGACGCAAAGGTGGCCGAACGCAAAATAAACCTCGCAAATTTGCGGCTCATCAAAGCCAAATCCATTTAACAACACGTGGCCTCATTGACCGGGGTCATAATCGGCTGATTTTCCGGGCGAGATGTGGCCGGGCGAAGACGAGCGTTTAACACGGTCGGATTTCGGTCGGTTTTCGCGCTGTAGGCGATTTCCACGGGGCGGCGGAACGCCAATCTGTCTTCGTTTGGTGTACCGTTGCGCCCAACACACACCACCCGGACACGTCGCCTCCGGAGAAATAATGAAATTTCGCGCTGATGCGGGCAATCGTGATTAATGAGGGGGCGCGTTCGAGCGTGAAAAGCTCGGGTACACGGCGAATCGAAATTGATTTCAACGCGGCTCTACGAGTGGCTAATTTGCGTGAGCGAAAACTTCCTTTCCTTCGCTTTCAACTTTTCCATCTTTTCTCGGTTTTCACGCACGAATATATGATAAAGTACGTGATAAAGTGATTTCGAAATAGACAATTTTGTGGTTTTGTGGCATTTTCAATCAAATTATCTCGCGATGCTTCGATTATTTTTCATTTCTATGATTAGGAACGCATGTACAGATATCTATATTTATTAATCAAGAGGAGAACAAGCAACGTCCTTATAAAATAGAAGAATGAAACGAAACGATATGTTATTCAAACTGACTTCGAGATTATTCGTGCATTATTTGGCAAAAATAGCCTTTTACCCGAATAAAATATACAATATAAAGACGATTCTTAGAAATATTCAAGAATAAGCCAAAACCTAACTCGAATCCATTCGTTCGATGGACATTTCAAAAATGAAACCTTAATGCCTCGTATTTCTCTCGTATATTCGCCCTCCCCCTGAATGACTCGCGCTTCGTTCAAACTCGTTCATGATTTCACACGTGAAATACACGCGATCATAGAGAGAATTTGACGAAGGAAGATACGAAAAAAAAAAAAAGAGGGAGAGAATCCTCCCTCGCGTAAATCTCTATCCCGACGTCGTCTTTGGACATCGTTTCTTATTTTCTGTTTTTGATCTTTTTCCGCCTCCTCATTTGGCGGGCGCACGAGCCGAGGCCGTCGTTTCGTCGCGGAAAAAGGGCCGAGATAAGAAGGGCCGGGTTGGTAAGAGGCTTTCTTTAATGAACACCTCGAAAAAATATAAGCTCTCGAGACGAGGCAAAGGCGAAGCGAGGTTGAAAATCCAAAGGGGCCGGCGCCATTTAGAGAAGATAAATCGAGAGAGGGAGGGAGGGGGGATAATTAGTCGCGTAATTGGGTGCGAGCGAGCGGTTCTTTCTCCCCTCGATTTCGAATTTAATTTTAGTTAATGTAACAGTTTGGAGGGATAGAGAGATCGGTGAGAGGATGGTTTCGCGTGAATTTCACGGTGGTGGTGGCTCCTCTCATCTTTGGAAAATTGAAGAAAGCGTAAGATTTGAGATATTTCGGATCAGCGTCGACAAGCGAGCGTGAAATGTACGAGAAATTATTATTTTTGAAAGTGATTTTGATCGCGTTAAAGAGTATAGTGCATGAAATAAAGATCGCGTTAATATAAATGTTATTCGTGTTACGATTCTGCGATACAAAGACGACATTCTTCGGGAAAATGGCGAGCTATTTAACAGCTTTAGTTTCGCTTTAGAACCGCTTTATCGAATCTAAGAATTTGAGGAAAGGGGCAGAGAAGGAGGGAGCACGATTGATTTTCGATGGTGGGATTATTGTTTGGATATAAATAAATACGATTCTAAATCGAGTCTCCAATATTATTCTTCCTTTTTGTGCTCCCCTCATCGACGATCTCTACTTTCTAATGGGAAAACTTCTTTTTTACATGGCCGTTTAAACATCCCTTCGCATCTCTTTGAGAAAGCGAATACACATTTTGGCTTTTGCATTTCGAGCTAACTGATAACAAACGTTGATTTGTACGAAACGTTTTCTCCGAATAAAAGATTTTTGTAAAATGATAGCGTGCTAAAAGCTCGACGTGCAAACAAGATTCACGGTCTTCCGTTCGAATGCGAATAAATCTCGTATTTCCGCACCCGTGCAAAATAATATACGGGCAAAGTGTTATTCGAATTAGAAACAAGGACAAGATCAAAATTTAATCGACTAACTTTTTTCAAAGTTTTTTCCCACGAAACAGAAACGAAAAATACGATCACTACTCGATCAAGAGAGATAAAAAACGTTATTCTGTTGTCCATGTTTGACAATTATTTATGAAAATTAACGAACGTTGCGTTACGACGAGTAGAAAGACTGAAAATAAATGACGAGTCAAATATTCCCTTTTACTTTTTTTCAATTCCAACCCTGCTCGCGATCTCTGTCTTTTCTTCAATAACGCAAGTTACTCGGTGTGTTCCAGGTGGTAATCGGAAATTATGAGGTGGTTCTGGATTATCGTGCTAATAGCTCTGGCGCTGCCAGCAGCCGTGCCACGAAAGACGCATCGCAGCAAACCGAGTAAGTAGCCAACATTTATATCGAGCCCTCTCTTCTTCACCCTTCTTCAGAATGGCGACGAAATGTAAACACCTATCGGCGAATTTCTCGCGATATTTCTTATCGAATCTTTGAAACAACGAAATATGGGAAGAGATATTCCCATATTTCGAGAGGAAATGTTTCGAGAATGCGTCGAATGGATGGTGAATTGTGACAAGCTTTGAACGCCGACGAAACATTTGGATATTTTCCTTTCCTTTCCTTTTTTTTAATATTTTGAATATGTGTTTTTTTCTCTCTCTTCTTTTTTTTTTTTTTTTTAGTAGAGAAAATTCAGAAAAGTTTCGATAATCTGGTGGAATCTTGGACGAGTATTATTTAATCTTGCTCTTTAATGAAAAAAAGAAAAAAAACAATGTTCGTTGCGAATTTTTTTTCATAATATTCATTTGGTGTGTATACGATAGTAGTGGAGAAAAGGTTGCACACGGATTCATTATGCACACCTGTTACCCCAAACTCTGAACTTCGTCGTTTCTAATTTCGAGGCAAGGAGAGGGAAGGGTACAAAGTTGGTATAAACAAAGGAAACCGTGCGAAACTGCTTTAGGAATTTTGTGATTTTTTGCGAGTCAAATTTTTTATTCGGGAGGAGGAAAATAAATCGAAGAAAAGATGAGAAAGAAAGAAGAAGAAGAAAGAGTTAATTTTTCTGACAGGATTGCATCTTCTTTATAAAGATTCTTTCGTCGAATCGAATCATCGAATTATTGATTTTTAAATATTCGGGAATAAAATAGGAACCATCGGAGAAAAGTTCAGCACTTGATTTTTTCATATTTGAAAATTGAAATACGAATAGATGGAAATTCTTGGGGAAAAAGTTGAAAGGAGGATTTAGAGATTGAAATTTCTCCTCTTCCCTGGTGTTTCTCAAAGGGAAGTTAAAACGTGTAACGAGGATGATGAAACGAATGCAATTACGATCAACACTTTTTTTTTTTAAATGAAAAAAAAAAAACGAAAAAAAAAATTCGTACGAAACATTGAAAATTCCGTACATTCATTGGAATTTATATTTTGCCAATATTTTCGGTTCATTTTTTTCTTTTTTTCATCAAGCGTGAATTAAAAACGATGAAGAAAAATATATAAAGAATATATATATATGTATTAATTCCATGTATACTCCATATATATATATATATATATATGAGTTCATATTTTTTTTAATTAAAAAAGAATTTCACGCATAAATTCCACGGATTCATAGCGAAAATATTATTTTAGATGAATTTCCGAAATAAATAACCAACGAGAAGTCATCGTGTCGAAATAAAAAAATAAAATAAAGAAAATGAAAAAAATTAATAAAAATCCCAAGACTTCCAATAAAGTATCACCCAAGAGACCAATATAAGCAAAGAAACAAAAAAAGAAAAAATCAATGATACAATCACTCAAATTCCATTTCATCGCGCGAGATCCCAAAATAAAATAAATTGTCAAAAAATTCGCGATCGACAGATAAAAGGAAAGAGAAGAGGAGAGGATACCCTGAATCCCAATCAAGATTCCCAATAAATCGGTAAAAAAAAAAAAACCCTCATCTTCCAACGAGCAAATTCCACTTCTTCAGAAATACCACCCGATACAGACCCGATATCCTCAAGTACTTCCCCCATATTCACCCCCCTTCCTCTCCACAACAAGACATCGTCCCGAGATCATCCTCCACCTACGAACCTCTTCGAAAGTTTGTTTGTTTCGAACCCTAAAACAGGATCCCTCCTCTTCCACAACTCTCCTTCTTTCTTCTTCCCTCGAGGAGAAGGAAACCACGTCATTCTCTCTCGTGAGAGGTTTAACCTCCTGGTCCCGAAACGTTAAATTATGGATCAAGGCCGGGTGGTCGTCGAGGTCATCCCCGTAAATTTTATCGAAACACCGCGAGTGGATAAAGATCCGATCGGTCGAGAGATGATGGCCGAGGTCGAGGTCGAGAGAGACCACGAGATAAATTAGGGATGCTGATAGGTAATTTACAAGGAGATCAAGCTTGTCGTTGATTACGCGCCAATGGGACAATGCCCGATTCCGGCTTCATTCGTCTATAATTTGGGATCATTCGCGGGATATTCGGGGATCGACGATTATCTAGGATCGGGATTCTCTCTCTGTAATGAGATTTCGAACAGGGGATAACTCGTGTTTAAGGGGATATATCGTGGTTAATCGCTCGTTTTTGGAAATATGGAAAATTTTTGCATAGAATTTTCTTTCGAGAACAGAAGTATCGAGACATTTGGTTAAATTTATTCGAGGACGTTCGATGATAAAAGCTTGTTATCAATCGATCCTAGAATTTTCCACAGTCAACCTTTCGTTTCTCTTACAGCTGAATTTCTTTCTACCTCTTTCGTACACCAAAATTTATTGTTATTAATCTATACTAACCTGTTAACTTAATAATATTAATTCGTTCGAGGAACAGGAGAGACGTGGAGAAATCTATTCGCGAATGGTTTAATAAAAAGGAAAATCGATGGAAAACCGGTCTCATAATTTTTTGCCCCGCGTTTACGAGGGAATTCGAAGGGAAAAATGGCCGGTGATGGGGAATCGGCTCGGTTTCGATCTCTTAGCAAAATTCAGTGGAGCCAGATGTCGTCGCGGGATCCACGGCGGAAAGAAATCCGCAAGATCCGTATTTACCCCCTTACATAGGTGGCAAAGTTTGCCCAACTATGAGTAATATCCGCCACTTGTCGAGGGCAGAGGCCAGAGTTTTCGCAGTCCCCCATTAATCAGAGAAAAATTCTTACTCTTCGCGAGACGTATGGATTCATATTGATCGGGACTTGGTGATTTGGTGAATCGGGTGAGGAAAATGGAATCGAGTTTGAGCTTCCAAGAATTAATGAAAAAAAGAAAAGAAAAGAGAAAAAAAAAAGATCGATGAGAGTAGAGATTTCGTTTCCTGTGTGAAAAATTGAATCGGTGTGGTTTGGAATATTTGACAATTTCGAAAAAAAAAAAATGCGAATAGAGAATGTCTCTGTGAAAAATTGTGCTTTTTGGCGAAGTTTTGGAATATTTTTAAATAATATAAAGAGATTTCCTTTTTTATGGAAAATTAAAAAATTAAAAAAAATTAAGTTGGTTTTTGTAATTTAAAGGAATCGATAAAAATAGAAAATGGTATAGAATCCTTTTTTTTCTTTTTTTTTTCGTGGAAAATTGAGTCGAGCTTGAGTTTCGAAATATTTGAAGAATAAAACTTTTTTTTTTTCGAATCGAAATATATTTTGAAGGGTAGATAATTATTAATGAATTTCTATTTCGAAAGGAACAGGATCTTTTTCGTAAAAGCAAGTTCCTCCTTATATATGCATCCTTCTCTTCCTTCTTAATGAAGCGCGAAGAGCGTGAGAAATTTTTTTAATTAAAATTGTAATTGAGGATACACGTAGGGGTTACGAAAAATGGGTCTCGTGTTTGCTCTGTAAATGGACTCGTCGATAAAGTAACCCGAGAAGTTTCTTAGACAAAGGATGGGTAGGTGTTAGGGAAATGTTCCGTTCAAAGGGACTCTTAATTAGATGTTAAATTTGTGGAGGATGGGAATACCGGTGATAATGGTTGGAACTTTGTAATGGAGATCGCGAAAGGTGTTGTCAAGAAATGGTATGCAAAATACGAGGCCACTTTCAGCAATTAGAATTGCCTCCACGATCCAATATTTATTAATCCCTTTCTTCTCGTTTCTTCCACAATGTATCCATACTTCGTTCGATTTATGAAAAAAGATATTTTATTCAAATTCATATTTAAATTCTTCAAGAAGTATTATTACTTTCACTAATGATTAAAAAAAGAAAAGTGTGCTTTTAGTTCATTTTTAAAAACAATAAAAATAACCCTTCCTTCTCGTTTCTTCCTCTTTCCACACTTTCGATATCTCATTTATAAAAACAAGATAAACCTTCGAAAACCTAACATCTAAATTCATCCATCTTCAAATCCTTCCAAAAGAATTCTTACTTACTCTGTTCTCGAATAGAATTCAACTTTCGTTCGTATTAATGATTAAAAAAGAAGAAAAGTCGTACGGTTTTAACCCCCTTTTAAAAATAAAGGCGTACAGCGCGCAACTAAATTAAAAATCCCGATATAAAGCCCGCTAACTAATTGTTTCGCAAGGAAGATCTCGGGTAATAAGATTTTTTTTTTTACGAGCACTCCCTTATATCAGCTATTAGCCGGTGCGCTCGTTGCGTGGCTTTACGAACCAAGCACTCGGACAGTTACGCGAGCGAAGTGAAATACGGGTGCCGAGATCGGGTGATATACGACGTTTTTATAATGGACGCTCTCCTATTGTTGGACGGTAATTGGTCAAGAATTACACGGAGGGTGTATCACGACTTGACGCGGTGGCGGTGCAGAAATGGCCGCACCACCTTGAAACAAGTGTGACCCATTGTTCTCGGGCGTAACTTGGTTTAATAACCGAGTTCGTTTCGTTTGCTCCATCAACCATGGAATAAGCCATTGTTGGAATTTCTTTTGTCCCGTGTTTCGTGGAACATTTAACCCGGCCAAATCTTTTATCAGTACTTTCTTCTTCAAATGTTTCTCTTTGATTTTACATACAGGATGCTTTATGTATATTTTATATAACTTTAATCGTTATATCGTTTAAGAAATTTCTTAAAATTATATTGGTATTGTATACCTTTCAATTGTCTATCTTCACCTGTGATGATGAAAGGAAGCTCGAAAGCTTCTGATTATAAACGATGCGGAGAGTATTCAGAGATATTGCTCAAACTTTTTTCTCTGATATATGTATCGATACAGGCATCATCGTGTATAATATATTTATAAAATGAATAGGAAGAAGAAAAGTATTATATCCTTTTTTCTTTACTTCGCGTTTAATTCTCTTCCTCCCTTACAAAAATCGAAATCCTTCTACAAAGAACCTATAAAAAGGAAATATATTCCCTTTCGTGCGTCATTAAATCCCTGCCTATTCGCATCATACTCGAAACAGGGAGACTTGCCTTCCCTCGTTTCGACATGGACGGCAAACAGGGTAAAGGGTATGAAAATAGAACGTTATTGCTCGTTTCGAGTTGGCGCTGTCGATATTCACCCTTTAAAGCGGACACTTGTTCCATGGTCGAAAGGGAAGGAAATGGAGCAACGCGTGCAAAGAGAAAGGGAGATGAAGAGGGTGAAGAGAGAAGGAGAGAGTTTTATTGACAAGGAGTATCGGTTATCGAGACGTTGTTGAGAGGAAACGTTTGCTTTCAGCGCCGAGGCTGTACGGGGAGAGGGTGCCTGTCAAGTTGCTGAGAACGAGCAACAGCAAGGTCCGTCAGAAGATCGTCGACACCCATAACTATCTTCGCACCCAGGTCAAGCCCCCAGCTGCTAATATGCTGGCCATGGTGAGTGATCTATCAGTTTTTACTCCTTTGAAATTTCGATCCTCTCTAATCGATCTGCGTTCTCCAATGAACGTTTCTCCAATCATAATAATTGTAATAATCTATATAATGTGTATTATTAGCATAAAAGAAAAGTGTCATTAAGTTTTCCAAAAGTTGTTACGTATAATAATTGCCAAGATGATTATTGCACTTTTAATACAGAATATAAACTAGTTATTTGTTAGATAAGAATAAGGATTGTATTAGCATGAGAAAGATGGAAGGCCGCGTTCAGTTTGTACCAATTGATTAAATTTCCATAAATTCATCGATCAAGACGATGCTCCAAAAACCTTATCTCTACTCGAAGATTCATCCCATTGAACAATATACAAGACATACGTTCATTCATCTTGAAAGAAAACCACAAAACCTTTACCCAACTTCAAATCGCCCATAATTCACAATCCCTTCGCAATCCCTCTCCTTTAATTTACTTTTTGTTTGATCCCGTTCCCGAAATATCGTCGCTCGAATCCGAGCATCATTTCCGACCGTTCCTCGCGTGTGTTCCACAACACATCGAACCTGTCCCAAGCGCAGCACTTGTGCGCTGGTCAACGACAGACGCTGAGTCATCGTTTTTTCCCCCTCCACCACGCGTGGACGTGCACACATCTCGAGGGAGTGGGGGGGGAGGAAAAAAATTAGATCACGGCGTTTCTAAGAATTTCGATCGCCATTCATCGTTGGCGCGTCCGTGCATTTTAAACGGGCGAACTTTCCGCTATCTTGGTGAGATATCGATGTGAAACAAAAACTCCGTTGTTTCTACGAATTATTTCGATGAATTATATAAGCGGGATACAGAATGGGCAGAGTTTGGTTAGGAAATCGTTGCGTGTTTTTATTGGGAATTGTAAATTGTTCTGGTATCGTTGGTGGTCGGCCTGCACGGGACATTCCACGTATATTGGGATTGAAAGATGGGATTTTTCGTTTAATTAGAGTTTGTTGTACGCATGATTCTCCTTTTTTTTTTTTTTTTTTTTTTTGAAAACGGTTTTACAATTTTTCTTGAGCCGAAGAGGATCTGCGACACGTGAATTTTAGTAATGCATTTAATTGTTCGGTTTCGTAAATTTTTAGAATTGCACGGGAGGATTAACTTTTGATCGCGATTTCCGAAAATAATCGTGGTAAAGAAAGAAAAAAAAAATCGCGACACATCGATATCCCGCCAGTTTTATTCTGAAAATGGAAATTACTTTCGGATCGTTTTATCCCAGTAAAACCGACATTAAAGTTTACGCACGAACTGCAGTTTACATAATCAGGGTTACGAAAACTACTCTCTATAAACAATGTTATTTCCCTTCGATTTTGTACTCGACGTTTGGTATCGGGAATGGGACAAAAGTTTCGTACGATATTTTTTGTTATTGCGCGTTACAGGGAAAACGTACAGCCCACGTATATTCCACGGGAATGAAGGTTCTAACTTTACTACACGTTAGTTTATTATCGAGCCAAATAGAAGGGAGATTTCGAATTCTATACCGGTGGTATTTTGGCGTTGTTTCACATAAATGCGCCGTATTTCATGAATAAAAGATTTAATCAATTCCTATGTTTTATTTACGCGCCCAAAATAAAAAGTACATTTAGATTTAGAAATTTAATATTTCTTTATAATATATGTATCCTCTTTCGCTTTGTCTTGTCCTCTCTTCGAAAAGATTCCATATTGAATTTAATTCTTCTATTCGACTCGATTACAAAATTGAAGAGATTGCATCGAATTTATCCAACGACAAAAATTCGAGTGTTTATATGAAGAGGCGGAAGCATTCCCTATTTCCACTCGTTGATCCTGTTGTTTTTGAAAAACCATTCGAGAAACATAACTCGAATAATTTACGGTTCTCGATCACGGTTTTGCAAAATCGGTGGATTTTTCGAGGGAAACGAAGATTCGACCGGGGAAATCCCTTTGTGTCTCCTCCACGCTTCGTTAATCGTCGCGACAAAAGCAGTTGCTCGGTTTTTTTTAGAAGGCGCGGCTCATTGCCTCGGCGAGAGAAGGAGACGAGGATCGTTAAAACGACGCCTGTTACGTTAGAATGTTTTCCACTCGGATTGAAACGGATACTTGGAATCCGCCCCTTCGAGAAATAATCGAATCCGACACGACTCGTTGGCGAAATGCAATCGATTCGTTCAACGTGGTGCAAGAATGTCAGAGGGTTAGTAGAGGGTCGAGATAATTGGCTTTGAACGTGGGCGATTCCGTGGTCATTGTTTATTTCGGTTTGACGAGTTTGCTTCGACGACGAGATAATCGGCTGTGAAACGAATACTTTTCTCGCTCGATAATCTTTTGCTAATACGAATCGCTCGAAATGGTTCGTTCAGTCGATTATCGAGTTTTAGAATTTTTTTTACGGGATCATTTAAAAAATTTCATTGAGCATTGAAAATTTGTCGATTCAACTAATTTTAAGTGATCATTATCGACGAAATAAATTCATTTGCTCGTAATAATTACGAAAGAACTGAAATTTATTTAGCTAACTCTTCCCTAAAATTCTTCCATCTTTAAGATAACGCGCAACGAATAAAACGAATCGAAGATGTCACCAATTTTAAATTATTACTATTACATTTAAAGTAAATAATCAAACAAATATCAATTTTACCAAGAAATAAATTACCTGTTGGATTTAAAAGACAGGAAGGAAGAGAGAGAAAGAGAGAGAGAGCAGAGTACACACAGTTTGATCAAAAAAGTTAGCCCAAAAGAAGAAGGAGAGAAAAAATCATTTCATTCGTAAATCATTAATTTCAAATTATACGTTTAAATCATCGAACAAGTACCAAACATCGCAATTTCACCAAGAAATAAATTATCTATTGGATCTAAAAGACAGGAAGGAAGAGAGAGAGAGAGAGAGAGAGTGGAACGAAAGTTAACCGAAAACGAAGAGGAGGGGGGGAAGGGAAAAAAATCATTTCCTTCCATTCGTAATTATTCACCAATTTTAAATTACACACGTTAAAGTAAATTTGTTTCGTCGAACGACAAGTATTTCCCTTTATTCGCGCGAATTTTACCGAGAAATGAATTATCCCACGGGTCTAGAAAACAGGGAGAGAAGGGGGGGGGGGATCAGAGTACACTGTTTGGTCACGGGAGATCAATCACGTCGCATACCGTTTTGTTCATTCAACATCCGAAACAATTACTTCCGCGTTTGCCATTAAACACGCTTCCCCGCCCCCCTCCCCGTTGTTAACAACAAACGGGGAAGGTTTATAGCTCGCTCGTCCAATGATGAATTTTAAGTTGATTGCGCCGCTCCCGGCATAAAACCCAAAATGGCGGGCCACGATCGTCGCGCTGTTTCGCGGATATTTCCCTCCCCGCCGCCATTACGGTTAATGCATAATAAATAATCTCATAAGTCACGCCACCATTGATCCTGATTATTCACGGGCATTAACGATGATGAATCCCCTCTGGTTGAAGTGGCGGCTCGTTCGTTATATATTGTCGAGTAATCGGTTGTTGTTGGACGCGACGCTCCCCACTTTTGATTCGGTTTAATTAATCCGGAGGGGAAGGGGGAAATTTCGAATTTTAATCATCGAGATATCGGAAAACTACGGGTACGATGACTTCGGGATTAACCGCGTGGGAATAAATAATCGACAAAATAGTCGATAAAACGACAATTCTTGTCGAGCTTGTCTCGTCGATTGACACGATCACGGGACACAACCGGGTAGATCGATTTGAATTTCAGTTTCGGTTCAGTTTCTATTTTCGGTCACTCAAGAGGTTCTTTCACTCAGGATGTTAATAAATGTTCGTCTCGCGAGATAGAGTGGACGAAAAGGAAAATTTGTTGTTTTCGGCCTGCTTCACCATCAAAATCCGCTGCACCGGATGGACCATTTGGCTCGCTCTAGTTGCTGCAGTTCGACAGACTAATTCGTCTCGAGTTTAATTCGAGTTGGTTATGTTCGATGCGTTACACAATTGACTATGGATCGAATCAAGTTATGCTATTCAGAATTGCGAAAAATTCATTGGATATCCCGAGCAACCATTTCCTTTGAAGCGTTGTAGTCTGTAGTATGCTAAGAGAGGGGGAGAGAAAACAATTTCTCTTACGTAATTTTCTTATCAGAGAAGATTTTCGTGGAAGATGTTTTCCAGCCTCGACAATACACGATACAGCTCTTTCTTGGTGGTCCAGAACTTGACCTAATTGTAAGTGTTTTCGTTTCAGGAACAGAACTGCTATATATATATATATATATATATATATATATATATATATATATATTA